ATTATATTAATTGTTTTATTTGTTATTGATGAAGAGTAGTGATATAATATTGGGTGATATTTAAGGTTGATGGCGGCTGGTGTGACGCTGATGTATGTTTTGGAGAAGGGTGATAATAGTGAGAATAATTTGATGATGAGTTGTACGATGGCGAACGTGGATTGTGTGGAGGTTTTGGGTGCGGAGAGTGCGGTAGGTGGTGTTTTGTTGTTATGTATTGTTATTGTTTTTATTGTTATATATTGTTTTTATGATTTATTGTTACTGTTTTGTACTGTTTTTATTGTTGTTTGTGTGATTGAGATGGTTTTGCAGAGCAGTACTAAGACAGAGCATATTGAATTGTTGAGTTTTTGCTCAGTTACGGATGAGAAATCAAATGATGGCAATCCTCATTTGCGGTTGCAGATTGATAATCAAACTAACGGACAGGTAGAATTATTTATTTGTTGTTTATTATTATTGTTATTTGTTAATATTGTTTTTATTATTATTATTGTTATTATTATTATTGTTATTGTTATTGTTGTTATTTATAGAGTAATTATGCGATACAATTAGAACTAGCACCGTGCACAACAGAATTGGATATCTCGATATTGGATCGACTGTCGCCGTTATTATTCACGAAACCATTTTTTACGTGTTCATTCGGGCTGAATGATACTAGGAGTTGTTATAATGCACAGCCATTAGACTTGAAGTGGGTTGTGGTTATATTTGGTTATTGTTTTGGTTGTTTGTTTATTGTTTTGGTTGATTGATTGTTATTTGCAGGGATGATATTTTTACGAATACAATTGGAGACGGTTTAGTGCCGTTGACATCGAGTGCGGCTAGTGTGGTGTCGTTTGTGATGAAGTGTAGTGAGTGGAAGGTGGTTTTGAGGTGTGTTTTTATGATGTTATGTTATATTGTGTTTGTTGTTTTTATAATAGATAGTGATATTTCGATTAGGATTCCAATGGCGGACTTACGTGATGCAGTGTCGGTGGACGCAAGGGCACCGTATTGGTTGAGACGGGTGCATAGAGAGAGATTGGAGTTGGAGTTGAGTGGTGGTGTGATGGAGATGAGGGATTTGATGATGGCGCAGTGGTCTGGGAGTGTGGCGTTTAGTGCGGATTCGATGTTAGGTTGGTAGTTGGGTGTTGTTTTGTTTACTTTTAGTGTTATTGTTGTTGTTGTTTGTTTACTTTTATTGTTTTAACTGAAAATGAAAATGATTTTGAGGACGTTTCATGGACGGAGAGAAAGGCGCAAGTCTAGAGTGCAGCGAGCAGGAGCAGTTGTTCGTGTACGCTGGTAGTAGCAGTGGCAAGGCAGCGGCTCGTTCGGGGGGTAGCACGGAATCGTCACGTGTCAGGTGCGGTGGCATTGTTTTTATTAGTGTTATTGTTGTTGTTTTTATTATTATTATTGTTTTTATTATATTATTATTATTATTATTGTAAAGAAAAAATAAAATTTAGTGTGAATGTATCGTACGATTTCCGTAATAAGAGTTTGAAAAGCAATGCGGGCATAATGAATAACAGCGATGATGTAACGCAACGAAGTGGGCAATGGGCGTCGTACTTCAAAACGAACTCGAAAGTCGAGGGAGGGCCGTTCTCGCATACGGTGACCGTGCATGAGAATGAGCCGGTGGGTGGATTTGTTTATTTAGTTGTTTGTTTGTTTATTTATTTATTTATTTAGTTGTTTATTTGTTTGTTTACTTTGTTTATTTGTTTATTTATTTAGTTGTTTATTTGGTAATGATATTGATGAACAATTAGAGTGTTTATTAATAGTAATTAATTAAGGTAACAATGGTGGGCAGTCGAAAGGAATTAAACGAGTTTGCGGTGAATTGTATGAATATATCGAGTGTTAAGGTGGAGGTGACGATGCCCGTGATGAGGGTGAACCTGCCGAACCATCACTTCTATGAGGTGCTATATAACAGGTAGTTTTTATTATTTATTATTGTTTTTATTATTATTTGTTATTGTTTTATTATTGTTTATTATTGTTATTATAATAATTGTTGAGGCTGGTGAACGATTTGGCCTTATNCTATGAGGTGCTATATAACAGGTAGTTTTTATTATTTATTATTGTTTTTATTATTATTTATTATTGTTTATATTATTATTTATTATTGTTATTATAATAATTGTTGAGGCTGGTGAACGATTTGGCCTTATGGGAACCGTCATCACAGTTGTTCAAGAATACTTCAGTGCAGTCAGCGGGGGTGAATATCAACGCACCAATTAGTGATGACGTGTTCCAAATGTGCTCGTGTCCGAATATTAGAAAGGGTATTTAATATTATTAAATGGCTTATTTAGAGGTTTTTTATGGAAGGTTATTAACTGTCATTTAATGGGTTGTTTATTTAACATTATTATGTTGTTATTGTTATGATGATTATTATTTATTTATTTTTGTAATTGTTACAATTTTAGAATCGGAAAATGATTTGTCGGATGCAGAAGGGGATGGCTCGCATGGCACTGCAGGGACATCACGCTCGCAAGTAGATGGTTCGGGTTCGAGCTCGGGTGTGGTGCTTATTGTTATTGTTGTTTTTTATTGTTATTGTTTTTATTGTTATTATTATTATTATTATTATTATTATTATTATTATTGTATTAAATTTAATAACAAGTCTGTGTTGTTAGATATAAACGAAAGTCAGAATCACAGAATATGCGTGCAACTGAAATGTACGGATGGCAAAGTGCTTATTGGTGCGTCAATGAGTGAGGTGAGATTATATTATTGTGGATATATATTGTTATTGTTTTTGTTGTTTGTTTACTTTTATGCAGTAAATAGTATTGATTTTAATTGTAATATAGTAATTTTAATTTTGATAAATTAATTAATTTGACTAGGTAATATTAATTTTAATTTGAGAATAAGACGGCGTGTGCACAGAGTCAGATCGCTAGTGAGCTGTCGGTAATGCAGATGTTTGTGGTGAACGGATATCACGGCAATAACGACTTGACTTACTTTTATTTTACTGCTGGGCAGGTAGCTGTGTTTCATAGAAGTAGGTTGTTTATTATTATTATTATTATTATTATTATTATTGTTAATATTATCATTATTGTTGTTAATATTATAATGAATTAATAGATCTGCTGGAAGGCGTAGCAGCATATGAGCGCAATGTGCAGCAGAAAAATTTTGCCACGAAAAGCAGAGAAGACGTGAGGGTGGAAGCAATGGAGAGAGGTGGGAAGGGTGAGGTGAGAGGGGATACGTTGTGCGAGTTGATAGAGGACGATAATGTGGCGGTGGCGATCAGGATGGATTTCCATTCGGACACGAATGTGAAGGTTTGTGTGTTATTATGTTGTTGTTGTTGTGGTTGTTGTTTATTTGTTGTTATTATTCAATCAGCAAATTCAACTGCAGGAAGTAATGAGTTAATGCCTCTCTGTTATCATCACCTTAATCACTGATATCACCAC